TACCTCCATGGGTATTTCATGACATAGGTGCACTTACATTCATGCAGGCAATATACTCACATGCATAGACTGAAATTAATTAATTAAATATTTTTTAAAATGTAATAAAATTAAAGAACAATGTATTTTCAGATATCACAATGGTAATATATTACAAGAATAGTTGGTTAGTAGAGTAGAAAGGTATTCGAAACACATACATAGAATTTAGCACATGTTAAAGACACGTTAGAGAAAGACTAATAAGTAAAATGAGAAACGATATAGCCATTGGAAAAAATATATTAAATCCATTTATAGAAATTCTAGATAGATAAAGACCTAAATATTAGGTTCTTAGGAATCGATAATAGAAAGTTTTGCAGAAAAATAAGCAAAGGCCATTTAAATAGCAGCACACAGAAAAATAACCAAAAATGTATATAAAGATGCTTAATCTCATTATCAACAAGTACAAATTGAAGTACAAATTAAAATAATGAAATTCCATTTTTATGCCAATTATATAGTCAAATCAGAAAAGACCAGAAATACTCAATTTCATTGTAGATGTAGTATTTTTACCTGGAATTGCAGAGTACTTTTAGAAAAATAAAGCATTGTCTGTCATATTTTTAGTCGTAACTATTTTCTAAGTATAATAATTTACACGTTGAGTAAAGTTTGCTAGCTGTCTCCTGATAGTGATATGCACGTGTTAAAATGTAGACTAATTTGCTGCCTACAGGATTTGGCAAAACACAAGCAGAAACAATCGTGTCAGTATTAACTACTTTATCAAATGTCAGCCTGGATACTATCTATAAGGAAATGGTCACTCAAGCTCAACAGGTAAGATGTTTGTTTTTATCACTTCATTCCATTTCATTAGATGGTGCTTTTCAAGGAAGGAGGAAAGGAAGGACTTAAAGAAGGGGTGGGAAGGAAGGCCTTTCGTAGAGTTCATACCTAGAAACTAAAGAGTTAGGGTAGTCCTAACAAGGTTATGGTGGTACAGAGAGTGTAGAGTTCTTTCGTCTTCCATTGTGTGAGATAAATAGATTCCTTCCGTCATTTGATGGTGGTAGACTTTAGTAAAACAACTTTTCCCCCCTGGAAAACCCTCCATATTAAAGCTCACCTTTCTATATGGTATAACACATTGACTCCTGGTCTTATATCTGCATGGTTAATTTTCACAGAGTTTGAAAGGTAGGAAAGGACTGACATGGCTAGAAAAGACTTGAATTTTTTTTCTTTTTCTATTTTTTGTTTTTTCAGGGTTTTTTGTTTTTTTGTTTTGTTGTTTTTCTTTGACAGGGGTCTCCCTAATCCCAGCCCACCTGGAAGTCACTATGCAGACCAGGCTGGCCTTGATCTGACAGAGATACACCTGCCTCTGTCTCACAAGGGCTGGGATTAAGGAAAAGACTTTATAAGTTGCCTAGCTAAGATGTTTTAATTTGACTAGATATGAAATTCTTTAAATTTTTTTGAATATGTATTTTGTGTGTATGTATATGTATGTCTGCAGACAAGTACATACCACAATGTAGGTGTGGAGGTCAGAGGACAACTTGGAGAAGTCTGTTTTCTTCCTTTACCATATAGGTCCTGGGGATTGAACTCAAGTTGTGAGGTTTGGTGGCAGGTGGCAACTTGCACTTGCTGGCTCACATATTTTTAAAGCCTTCACGTTGTGATTATATACACCCCAAAGAAGCAATAAAATAAACTGTTAAAGACTCTTCTTTATACTTACATTGTTTTTTCAAATTTAATCTTTCTCATTGGGTAATTATTTCAAAGCACATACATAAAAATAGGATTTCTTACATAAAATTAAAATATGGTGTATAAAATTTTATTCTTTTAAGGGTTATAGAAAATCAAAAGCTCTTAAAGATTTTTGCTATAATCCCCAACTAGGAATTATAATATTGATTCCTTACATTTAACTTGCCTTTAAATTTTTACTTTTAAAATTTGTATTATTTTTAGTTTAGCTTATTCAGGATCATGCAGACTAGAAATTTCACTGTGGTGGGGGGAAAGGGAGCCAAACTTTAATTTATTTTTCCAAAGCTCTCATCTATTGATGTTTTCAATAAAGTATTAATTTTTAAGCCTGTCATTTTTGTAAGCATGAATTAAAACTGATAAGGAATATTCATGCTGCCAGAACCATTTTGATTCTACATACAAAAATAGGATTAAGTATAGGAATATTATGGTTAAGCTTTTGGCCTTTTAAATTTTTTAAATAATTATTTTATGTGTATGAGTGTATTGTCTGTATGTAGGTAAGTGCATCCATGTCATGCAGTGTCCACAGAGGTTAGAAGAGGACATTGGAACTGGAGTTAAAACGGTTGTGCTGTGTGGGTGCTGGGAATCAGCCAGTGCTCTTTAACCACTGAGCCATCTCTTCAGCCCCAAACTTCTGGCTTTTTAAGGCCATGTTAAGTCTGATTCATCTCTCATTATTTCACAAAAGGTACAACAGTCACACATATAATAGATTTGACTGCTTAATAAAGGTTTTCAAGATAGACTTTTGTGCTATTTTGTAGGGTTTTGAGTCACAAGCTGTTTTGTTTGTTTTGTTTTGTGGGTTTTTTTTTTTTTTTTTTCGTCCTTTTGAAGACAGGGTCTCCCTGTAACCCCAGCTGACCTAGAATTCGCTATGTAGAGCAGGCTGGCCTTAAACTCACAGAGATCCCCCTAGGTGTGCCACCACACCTAGCTAACAAGCTATATTTTTATGAAGAATGTAGATAATTGTTTCCATTCTACCAATGGGGAAACCAAAGAAGTTAGTAGCTATTCACAAACAGAAAGTGGCAATTTAAGTTCAAATCCTGACAGCCTAATAGTCCATCTCATCATAGTTTTTTTTTTTCTCCTCTTACTTTTTAATTGTAAACACTTCACAACATCTTATTCATGGATCACACTAAACAGTATCCCTGTAATGAAGGATTTTCACAGACTCTTGCTTTGCAGCTAGTCATTCGAGTGAACCAATACATTTTCCAACATATTCAAGCAGCATGAAGATAATGTGACTACAACAATGACACATGATGCAGGCACCAACCTCCACCAGCCTTTAGCATCCCGATGCTGACTGTGGAAATTGAATCTGGCACCAGTGGCTTGGCTTTTATGCTACTGCATATGACCTCAATGCTTATTTCAGGTATTCAGCTCATCTTATGCTGGCTTGCTTAGTAAAGGTGCTGGATTTGAACTTCCTTTGTTTTGCATCTGCATCCAGGACATAGGTAGGCTGGTACTGGGCACACACTTGGCCTTTGGCCTCTTCCCTGGAGCTTCACTGCTTTCTAACTGGTGGTAGAATATACCAGCCAGAAATGTGCCCCTCTGACTCCACTTTCTCAGAGGCCCCATGTTTATTTTCTTATAATAGGAGTTCTGGTCCTGAAGTAAACCCAAATATGGAAGAGGGGGTAGAGAGATTGTAAGAGATAGGGGTGGTGCATGACCATAAGGAAACAGATTCTTACAGGTTCCTGAGAACTTGCTCATATGAACTTAAAGCAATGGTGACAGCATGCATAAGACCCATGCCAAGCCAATAAGGAGAAGAAAAAAAAAAAAAAAAAAAAAAAAAAAAAAAAGCATAGAGGGGCTGGAGAGATGGCTCAGTGGTTAAGAGCACTGGCTACTCTTGCAGAGTTCCCAGGTTCAATTCCCAGCACCCAAATGGTGGCTAACAACCATCCATAACTCCAGTTCAAGGGAAATATGAAACTCTTCTGATCTCTGCGGGCATTACACAACATGGGTACACTTACCATACATGCAGGCAATATACTCATAATATAAAAATATTAGATAAAATTTTTTTTAAAAACAGCATGGAACTGGGGAAATGGGCAGGAGGCTATAACCAACTAGCCAAAATGTAGAGACTGTAGAGTGCATGTCCCTGGATAGGATCACTATAATCTATAAGACTTCTGCCACCCAGGGCTCAGGGACCATTGCAGAAGAAGGGGTGGAAAGACTATAAGAGCCAGGGTGATAGATGATCACAAGGAAACAGCTGGGAACTGGCTCATATGAACTTTTACTGCAATGTTGACAGCATGCACAAGACTCATGCAAACTCATACCAGACAAAAACTCAGCATAGATGTGGGGAAATGGGTAAGAAGTCACAACCTTAGCTGAGGTTAACCTTAGTTTAACTACTGGCAACTGATCACTCCTGGGTGAGGGAGAGTTGGCCTTCTGTAAGGGAGTGTTGCTAGATATGCTGAACAGGTTCCAGTGGATGAACTCACACCAAGTGACATTTGGGGACACAAACTTGACTGATATTTGACAGAATGCATGAAATTCTTTTTTCTTTTTTTTAAATTAATTTAATAACCACATGATTAGAAGAAGCATGTCAGTACACCATTAACATATTCAATAACAATTTCCAGAGCAAAGATGCATCTCTTTCAAAATGAGAATGCATTAAATTCTATGGGGGGAAGGTACAGATGGGGAAGGGTCTAAATATGATTGATGTGTTATATGAAATACACAAAAATTCAATAAAAATATACATTGAAAAAAACGATCCTAGTACTCTTTTTCTTGGGATAAAGAATCCAGGATGTGGGTGCTCTATACTAGTAATTAGGTGTGTGCAAGGAAGGCTTGTGGGAGGTAGTGAATAGACTTGAGAAATTTGGTTATATAGAGCAACTTTAATAAAAGAACACAAACTGTTTAGCTTACACAGCAGACCCTCTCTCAGAGTTCTAAAGGGTGAAAGTCCCAGATCAGGAGCCATCATAGTCAGGTTCTAGTCAGGGCTCTTTTCCAGGTTATAGGCAGCCATCTGTGTCCTGTGTCCAGCAAGGAAGACTGAGACTGTTCCCATCTCCTCCTCTTATAAAGGTACTAATCCCAAATAGGGGTTCCACCCATATGACCCCACCTCAACCATCTCATTGGGAATTAGGCCTAAACATAGGAACCTGACAGGGACACAGACATTCAATCTGTAGCAGTTTGGTTCATAGCCATGTCTCTGTGGGATAAAAAGAATCAACTTCAGTAAAGCCCTTCTCTTAAAGTGAGCATTTTCTATTAAGAGAGAAAGTGTGTTGGTTTGTGACTTAACAGCTTTTCTTCTTGGGGTATGTCCTGGCATCACCAGAGATCTGAGGACACACAGATCACTGTGCTTAAAACAGGGACTACCTTGGTTTCATTTCATCTGTGAAATATGTTTGGCACTTGACTCCCTCATTCCCATTGTGTCATAAAGTTGTTTTTAAAGATATGTACTCGCATACCCTTTGAAGAGTAAGTTATCTTAGTTTCCACATAACCTAGTTTCTTCACTGTATGTTTGAAATTGCAATGCCCTCTGTTAACAAAAGGTCAAGTTTTCAGTCTTTCTCTCCTATATCAAACTGCAATTCCAGTAAATTAACCCAGCCACAAACTTTAAAAATAGGACTAGTAAGTTGGGCATGGTAGCACACACCTTTAATCCCAGCACTCGGGAGGCAGAGGTGGGCAGATCTCTGTGAGGCCAGCCTGGTCTACATAGTGAGTTAGTGTGTTCCAGAACAGCTGGGGCTACAGGAAGACCCTGTCTCAAAAAGATCAACAAAAAAAAAGAAAGGGAAGGGAGGGAGGAACGAAGGGAGGGAGGGAGGGAGGAGGGAAGGAAGGAAGGAAGGAAGGAAGGAAGGAAGGAAGGAAGGAAGGAAGGAAGGAAATAAAGGGAAAAAAATGGGACTAGTGATACTGCTCGTTTGGGCTTTTTGCATTATTTGTAAGCCTGTTAATATAAGGTCCTTTTCAAGATTACACTCTGCTTTTTCTTTTGGTGGATAAATTATAACTGCTTAATTTGAAGAACTTGAATATGGAAACAGACTTTGTAAGATTGCCTTAAGTCATTTCTACAAAATGTTCCTCCTGATGGGTGTGTTTAGTGCACATCAGCAATCCCAGCACTTGAGAGGCCTTTAAGAAAACCTTTTCTCAAAAAAAAAAAAAAGAAAAAGAAAAAGAAAAAATTTAAGCCCCGCTTTAAAAGCAAATATTTATAAGCAAAGCAAATGTTTATGAATCTATCAGGTAGTATGTACTTTTTCTTTCATATATTCTCTGTGGTGTCAAGAGACCAGAAAATTTAAGTAAAACTATGTTATAAGGGGAAATTATTTTAGCTATATATTTTATCTATTTTGTTTTACCACCTGACTTAAAAATTTTATGTGTTGCCTGCATATATGTTAGAGGACTTATGCATGCATTACCACTGAGCCATCTCTCCAGACCCTACAACTGGATTTCTGATTCTTATTCAATATCTTGGTATTTTCAGATGGTAGAAAGCCCTTCAAAATTAAAACACTGAAAGATTATAAAACCCTTTCCATCTAGGTATTTAAAAAAAAAAAAAGCAAACCATTATTTTTTGAGGAATTCATAGGAGCTAAGTAAGCAGCTGTGTTGGGATTCTTTTCATTAAAGACCTAGATGTGGCTGGGCATGGTAGCACACACCTTTATTAGTCTCAGCATTTGGGAGGCAGAGGCAGGTGGATCTCTTGAGTGTTGGAGGTCAGCCTAATTTACATAGCGAGTTCCAGGTAAGACCCTGTCTCAAAAAGGTATTAATTGACCTTCATGGGAAATACATAATACAATTTTCATTCTTGAACTTCCTCATTTTTATCTTGGCATTTCAGGTATTTAATTTCATACTGTGTTTTTACTTAACCAATCATTAATATACCTGTTAGCATGTTGACATATTCTTTTAAAATTCCAGAAAACAAAAATAAAAGGATACCATTCCATGGATCTCCAGGTTATTTTTGTTTTGTTCTCTAGGAAATAACAGTACAGCAGCTAATGGCTCATTTGGATTCCATCAGAAAAGATATGGTTATCCTAGAGAAGAGTGAATTTGCAAATCTGAGAGCAGAGAATGAGGTGACAAATTTTTTAATTTTAACTTTCATTATTTTTAATTACGTATATTTGTGTGGGTCTGTGTGTAAGTGCAAGTATCTTGGAGACCAGAGCCATGGGATACCCATGGAACTAGAGTTACAGGCAGTTATGAGATGCCCTACATAGATGCTAGGAACTGAACTCAGGTCCTTTAGGAAATAGGGCTCTTATCCACTAAGCCATCTCTCTACCCCAAGGTAACATAATTTTTTTAAACATATTCTATTATTTTTATTTTAAGTGTGTGAGTGTTATGCCTGCATGTAGGTAAGTGCACTCATGTCGTGCAATGCCCGTGGAGGACAGAAGCGGCTGTTGGATCCCTGGAACTGGAGTTATGGATAGTTGTTAGCTGCCATGTGGGTGCTGGGATTCAAACCCGGGTCTTCTGCAAGAACAGTCAGTGTTCTTACTGCTGAGCCATCTCTCTAGCCCCGGTAACATAATTTTTTAACTTCTTGCTAAAAAAAAAGAAATGATCTCACTGAAATTCTCAAAGAATAAAAATATTTTTTTAAAAAACTGATTTTACAAGTATGCTACTTTGTAAATAATTTAGTAAGAGCAAATAATATGTAGTTATTAAATAAGTTTTTAAATTAAAAATACAATGTTTAGAGCTGGGCATGGTGGCATATACACCTTTAATTCCAATACTTGAGATGCAAAGGCAGAAGGATCTCTATGAATTCAAGAACAACTTGGTCTACACAGCAATTTCCAGGCTAGCCAGAGCTACATAGTGAGACCCTGTTTCAAAAAACAAACAAAAGCAAAAACAACCATAGGAAAAAATACATTGTTTAACCTTACCTAATTAACTTACATATAAAGTGAGTTAATTTCTTGCATACTGAATAAAAGTTGTAATTTTAGTATGTAAAAGTCACATATAAGGGAAAAATGAGTTCTTTATATAATACGAAATTTCTAGTATAGTTTATCATATGTTCTCTTTTTTTTTTTTTTTTTTTTTTTTTTTTTTTTTTAGGGTCTCCCTGTAGCCCCAGCTGTCCTGGAACTCACCATGTAGACCAAGCTGGCCTTGAACTCAGAAAGATCCACCTACCTCTGCCTCCCAAGTGCTGGGATTAAAGGCATGCGCCACCACGCCCAACTATATGTTCTCTTTTTTAACATTGGTTTTGTGTATGAGTGTTTACCTGCATGTATGTGCATACAGTGCCCACAGAGACCAGAAGAGGGCATCAAATCCCCTGGAACTGGATTATAGGTGGTTGTTAGCTGCCATAATATTGGTGCTAGGAACCAAACTCTGGTTCTCTGCAAGAGTGCTACAAGTGCTCTTAATCTCTTTAGTCCCTCATATATTGTTCTTAAAGCAGAAATTCTATGTATTTTATTTGATGCTGTGCTAATTGTCTTTGGCACTTAAGAGAAAAATGTACTTTTGTAGTTGTCAGAAATTTAAGTTATTCACTAGCTTAAATTTGTGTTTTTTTTTTTTGTTTGTTTGTTTTTTTTTTGAGACAGGGTCTCCCTGTGGTCCCAGCTAGCCTGGAATTCACTATGTTTACCAGGATGCTCTTGATCTCACAGAGATCTGCCTGCCTCTACCTGGGACTAAAGGCATGCACCACCATGCCCAGCCAGGTTTCATAATTTTAAAGTAAATCATAATAAGGCATTTTGGATTAATGCTAATTGTTTATGATCTCTCTTATTCCTAGAAAATGAAAATTGAATTAGATCAAGTTAAACAGCAGCTAATGGTAAGTGAAATTTATTCCACTAATTTCAAAATACTCGTTTACAAGATTATTTTTTAAATTATTCATTTTTTTTTAAAGCATGAAACCAGTCGAATCAGAGCAGATAATAAATTGGACATCAACCTAGAAAGGAGCAGAGTAAAAGACATGGTAATATGCTTTTGTTTGTTTTACTTTGTTTTTTAGAGACAGGGTCTCATTATGTAGCTTTGGCTAGCCTGGAACTTGCTATGTAGAGGCTGGCCTCAAACCAGATCCTCTTGCTTACTGGGATTAAAGGCCTGAACCACCATGTCCAGAAATATGCTTTTTATAAAAATCATATCTTTATTTATTGTGCATGTGAGTGTATGTGTGTAGGCACATGTGTGCCATGGCACACAGTTGGTCAGAACACTGAGAGTTCTTTCTACTGTGTGGGTCCTGAGGACTGAACTCAGGTTATCAGGCTTGGTGGCAGATACCTTTATCCACTGGCCCAGTAATGTACTTTTCAATTAACTTTGTTATTTATTCCTTTTTCATTCTTTTTGTCTTTTGTTATTATTGTGTATGTTGGGGGGACATACATGTCAGAGCATATATGTGGATATGAGAGACAACTGTAAAATTGGCTTTCTCCTCCCTTTATGTGGGTTCTAGGGATCCTCAGGCTTATGTAACAATTGTCTTTATCTGCCAAGCCAGCCCTCTTTTTTTTTTCTTTTAACCTGCTGGCTTCATATCCTTTAGTTTACAGATCAAGAAAGGCAACTTATGGAAGCAACCACCGAATTTACCAAAAAGGTAAGGTAGTATGTAGAAGTTTCCCTTCCATATATTTCATGTACTTGTGTGCTTTTATATCTATCAGCTTATTAAGTTTGGATTTTAAATTTATCTGTGATTTTTTTTTTTTTTCAACAGCTATTATAGTTAACCAACACTTTAAAGGAAAGCTGCCAGGGAAATAGTTGTACATGAGCTGTAACCTTGGAGTAAGAATTAGGCTTTCCAGAGCTGGAGAGATAACTCACCAGTTAAAAGTGCATACTACTCTTGCAGAGGACCAGTGTTCAGCTGTCAGCACCCACATGGATAGCTTATCCCCTGGCCTATACCTCCATTTCCAGGGGATCTGATGCCTCTGGCCTCTATGAGCACCTTTACTCATGTGCAAATAACCACATATGGACACATAACACATAATTAAAAATAATAAAATCTTTTTTTAAAAAGAGCCTCTCTACATACTTTTTATTTTTTTTAAATTATTCTGCTATCACTCTTTTTTTTTTATTTTTTTTTTATTTTATGTGTATGCGTGTATTGCCTGCATTTAGATAGGCGCACCCGTGTCATGCAATGCTTGAAGAAGTCAGAAGAGGCTGTTGGATCCCCTGGAACTGGAGTTACGGACAGTTGTTAGCTGCCATGTGGGTGCTGGGATTCAAACCCGGGTCTTTCTGCAAGAACAACCAGTACCCTTAACCACTGAGCCATCTCTGCAGCCCCAACATACTTTTAAAATTTTTCTTTTTTAGAAAACATGGTACCTTTTTTTTCTCTGAGAAAGGGTCTCACTGTGTAGACCAGGCTGGCCTTAAACTCACAGTGCTGGGATTAAAGGTTTGTACTACCACGCCTGACCATAGTAGCTACTTTGTAAAGGACAAAAATTTACTATTATTTAAGTTAATGTCTAGGTTTAAATAAGTATCTTTAAAAGCTTAAAAATTAGTATTTAATGATTAGCATGTGCCAGATAACATACATTTACTTGTGTCTGTTAATTCATTTAACATTCATATCAGCCTCTATAGTAAGTATTACTCATGCCTCAGCAGTTTGGAAGATGAGACACAAAAATGTTAAGATCACACAGCCAGCAGTTGGTAGAATTGGGGTAAAGCACAGATTCTAAGCCAAGTATGATAATTCTAGAACTCAAGGACCATCATGACTCTGAGGCCAGGCTGGGCTACTCTGTGAGACCCTGTCTCAAAAAAATAAAAAATAACCCACAAAGGAAGAGAGAGAAAGAACTTAGATTTTTTTTTAAACGCCATACTTACATATTTAGAACTCCTTGTCAAATCAGCAAATTCTCTCAACTAGTTTCTCAGCTCTTTTCCCTGTATATGCAGTGTTACCCACCAAAGATATGCCAGTTCCTTTCATCTTAATCCAAGTTCATACTATAAATATGGTTGGGTTTTTTTGTTTGTTTGTTTTGCAAAATATATCTAAATTTTTTTTCTATGTAAAGTGTTAACAATAATGTCCTAAGAACTTTACAAGAAAAGTAGTACTTGGATTAAGATTTTTGTTTCTTAATTTTTCATTTTATATTTAGTTCTCAAATATCTTGTGAGATTTTTTAATAGAATATGCCCACTATGACATAATCCTAGGAAATTATGTCCAAATATGAAATTGGAGGAATGTATTTGTCAGTTGGCAGCATTTATTTAGTGTTTTTAGTACCACTGTACTTTTACCCCATTTCTCCAATTAAGACTTGATGCATCATTAGCACTTAATTGAAGGTTTCTAATATAAATGTTTTTGCCTATAATATATAGGGACAAAATTTAAATTTTTAAGAATATATTTTTATTTTTTTATGTGCAGGAGTGTTTTGCCTGCATGTATATAAGTACACCATGCATGTGCAGAGGCCAGAAGAGGGTGTCAGATCCCCTGGAACTGGAGTTACAGATGGTTGTTAGCCCCCATGTGGGTGCTGGGATTTGAACCAGGTCCTTTGCAAGAGCAGCAAGTGCTCTTAACCACTGAAACATCTCTTTAAGCTCATAGGGACAAAATTTAATTATCTTCATTCTTATTTACTACAGGATACCCATACCAAAAGTGTTATTTCAGAGACCAGTAATAAAATTGACACAGAAATTGCTTCTTTAAAAACACTGATGGAGTCAAACAAACTTGAGACAATTCGTTATCTTGCAGGTAAGTCTTTCAGAGAAAGGAGTTGCTTTCAATGAATTTTTGGACCTGTAAGTTCCTACCCCTCTAGATAATCATACCAGTACAAAAAAAAGAGAAGGCTGTAGAACAGAGCTCCTTTACTGCTTTGTCCTCTGTATTGCCTGAAGAAGGTTCCAGGTCCAAGACAAATTTACCAGGAAAGTCTGCAGTCTGCTAATAGGAAATTGTATATGGAGATGGAGGAGAAAAACAAGTATAAGTTGATAAACTTGGGTATTCTACAATGAAATTTTTCATTTTATTACTTAAATTCTTTGTAAGATTTGAATAGAATTAGCTCATTAAAGTATGGGGCTGGTGAGTATGGCTCAGTGGTTAAGAACACCAGCTGCTCTTGTAGAGCATCTAGGTTCAGTTCACAGCACCCACCTGGGGACAAACAACCATTTGTAACTCCAGTTCCAGGGGATCTGACAAACCTTCTGGCCTCTGCAGGCAGTGCGTACATGTGGTGCACTTACATACATGTAGGCAAAACACTATATATACAAAATAAAAAGGGGCTAGAGAGATAGCTCAGTGGTTAAGAGCACTAGCTGTTCTTACAGAGGCCATAGGTTCAACTCCCAGCACCCACATGGCATTTAGCAGCTGTCCTTAACTCCAGTTTCAGGAGAATTTGACACCCTCTTCTGACCTCCACAGGCATTGTGTAGCATGGGTACACTTACACACATGCAGGCAATACACTCATACACATAAAATAAAAATAATATAATACTAAATAAAACAAAATAAATTTTAAATTTCTTTTAAAAAGATCACTAAAGTAGATGTAAGCTGTTTTTAAAAAAAGCACAAAAAATAGCAAGGGCGGTAGTGAAAAACCTCTTACCTTAAACTGACTGGGCACACACAGATACTGTTCCAAAATTAGATTGTCACATACTGAGCTCCACAACTGCCATCTCACCTGAGAGTTATACAGCGCCAGTGAGATGGGAAGAATGCACTAGTCAAGTATTATTTGTCTTTATTTCTTTCTATAAAAGGTAATGTACTTTAATTATAAGTTGTTTATATAATTCAAAGGCAGTAAAAGTGAAAGCCTTCTATTCCCTCACCGTCTTTATTTAATATTAGTAGTATGTATCTTTTCTGCTGTATATATAAATAACATTCAACTTGTAAAAAGTATTATAGTCTTCAGTTTTTTAAAATCAAATCATCTTAAATGTAAATCAACATCAATACATGTATAAACATCTTGTAAGTATAAAAACATAGTATTCCATTATATATAAATGCCATCATATATCCAACTATACCATTCCCAATTTTTCATCCTTAGGAGCAATGCTACTCTGAATATCCATGTGTGTATGCAGTTTACTAAACACACACACACACACCTATATATATGTATATATATGCACACATACATCTATACTCTTGTTACTATGCAAATTTAAAATTTGGAGAAGATACACATATTTTTAATTTGTATATTAGTAAACTGCTATACAAAATAGTATTCCTGATTATAGTGGTTTTCTGGACAGCCACCACTGATGGTGAGGTGGCAGGCTGGGTGAAGAATGAGTCTCATCCCTCAACTGATACATACCTCCTTCCTTTCTCAACTAGAAAGGCTCAGTTTTTACCTCCTTAAAACACTGGATTCCTGCTTAAAGTTGAAGAAATAATTCTAAAGTTAAATTTTGAAAGCCCCTACTTTAGCAGTCTTTAGAACTGAAGACCTTAAGTTTAATTGTAATGCCAAGAGAAATTCTAAAGCAGCCATTTGGAATGTTCATTTTCTTCCAAAATCAGTTCCAAAGCAACAAAGGAATGGTTTCAAATTCTATCCAGTATTACCAGGTATTCTCCTATTTACCTAAAGAATCGATTATCTTATTTAAAAGCAAAATCCTTTCACCCTCCAACTTGATGGTGATATTTTCAAAAAAGCTTTCATTCAGTGGTTTAGATGTACAAAGCAGAATCTAATATACTTAGTGGGAGTAGCAAAATAAATTAGCAAATTAGTAATTGTTTTAAAAAAACACTTCCTGACCTGAGTTTAGTTCCCAGAACCCACATCTGGTAGCTCACAACCTTACCTGTAACTCCAGCTCTAGAGGTTTCACTGCCCTCTTCTGACCTCTGTGGGTATATATATATATATACACACACACACACACACACACACACACACACAAATACACAAATATAAGAGCCTGGCATGGTAGCACAGGCCTATAATCCCAGCACTTGGAAGACAGAGGCAGGTGGATCACTGAGATTGAGGTCAGCCTGGTCTACATAGTGAGTTCCAGCCAGCTGGGACTAGAGGGAAAACCTGTCTCAAAAAACTAAAGCAAAGCCGGGCGTGGTGGCTCACGCCTTTAATACCAGCACTTGGGAGGCAGAGGCAGGTGGATCTCTGAGTTCAAGGCCAGCCTGGTCTACATAGCGAGTCCCAGGACAGCTTGGGCTACAGGGAGACCCTGTCTCAGAAAGACCAA